CTTAATTAATTGTTTAATTAATAAATTAAATAAAATAAAAAAGAAATTAAAAACTCCTCTTGCTGCTGCTGCTGCTGCTGCTGCTGCGATACACAGTACCAGCAGCAACCACCGGACGACAGCCGTCTTGCTGCTGTTGCTGCTGTTGCTGCTGTTGCTGCTGCTGCAGCAATATCGATGTCTAAAGTTTCTTTATTTTATTATTTTATTAATTATTTATTTTTATTTATTTATACAAAGGAAATTAAATAACGCGAACAACCATCATGAGCTGCCTATACACCTCAGGGTGTGCAGCAGCAACCACCGAAAAAATTAAGGGGGAAAAATTAAATAAATAATAAATAAAATAAATAAATAAATAAAATAAACAAATAGTAAATAAACAATAATAAATAAATAAATAAATCAATAAATCAATAAATAAATAAAAATAAACTAAATAAATAATATTTAATTTATAATAAAAGAAAGATAACATTCATCAAATGGACATACACCGTCCTATTGCCACTAATAAACCCTAAACCCTAAACCCTAAACCCTAAACCCTAAACCCTAAACCGCTAAATTGAGACCTTAATGACCTCTTAATTGTCTATAACTAAATAAATAATTTATTATAACAGGCAAACGGGTTTATAAACTACAGTTAAAAAAAAAGAATTATTGAGGTGTACGTACACCCGAAATAGTAAACCCTTGCAGACAAACCCTAAACCCTAAACCCTAAACCCTAATTATTCGCTGTGCAGAAACTCGCCGATTTCCGGCATCTCTGTCACAGCAGCAATTGTCTCCGTTAGCTGCAGCACAAGCAGCAGCAGCAGCAACAACAACAACAACAGCAGCAGCATAAGCGGCAGCAGCAGCAGCAGCAGGAGTATAAATGTGCTCGTTTAGGGTTTAGGGTTTAGGGTTTTGTTAAACCCTCACCACTCGGATTTGTGTCTTCACAAGAGCACACTTCCGAGACAACAATTCGTGTCTCCTGCAGCAGCAGCAGCAGCAAAAACAGCAGCAGCAGCAGCAACAGGAGCAGCAGCAGCAGGTGATGAGGAAGTACCAGCAGCAGCAGCAGCAGCAACAGCAGCAGCAGCAAAATCCCAAGCATCATCATGATTATCACCATCATCATCAGCAACTCCTCCAACAGCAGCAGCATCAGCAACAGCAGCAGCAGCACCGCCATCAGCATCATCATCAGCAGCAGCAGCAGCAGCAGCAGCAGCAGCAGCAGCAAATATACTGTATAAGTAATTCTTTTTTTTTTTTAAGGAATTTTTCTGCAGAAAGAAAGTCCATCTCTAAATAAAAATTAAATCCAACAGATATTAATAATGTACTCGCGTCCTTCCTGCATGCATGCATGCAGCAGCAGCAGCAGCAGCAGCAGCAGCAGCAAGAGTAGCAATAGTAGAAGTAGTAGTAGTAGTAGTAGTTATAAGGCAGCAGTAGCAGCAGCAGCAACAGCAGCAGCAACAGCAACAGCAGCAGGTTATAAATGGTAAAAATACGCATGGTAAATATTATATATAAAGCTGCAGCGGCAGCAACAGCAGCAGCAGCAGCAACAGCAGCAGCAGCAGCAGCAACAGCAGCAGCAGCAGCAGAAGACTTACACGAATGCGGGCATATAGCAATGTGAGCCAACATCAGCAAGACATCTAAGAGGGAAAGGAGCAACAGGTTGCTGCTGCTTCTGCTGCTTCTGCTGCTGCTGCTGCTGCTCCTGCTGCTGCTGCTGCTGCTGCTGCTCATTTTCCTGTGGCAGCAACTGGGGTGTAGGTGGTCTAATTTGCATGCGCTGCAGCGCAGCATCAAGACGCTGCTGCTCTTTGCTGACGTGCTGCTGCTGCAGACGCAGCAAAGGAATATAATCTCTTAATGTATCCCTGCAGCGCATGCATACATAGCAGCAAAATAATTGTGTATACAGACACAAGCAGCAGCAGCAGCAGCAGCAGCAGCAGCAGCAACAGCAGCAGCAGCAGCAGCATATATACACCTAACCATCAGACATAAACATATAACCACCCTTAACATAACAAAGCAGCACCATCAGCATCAGCAGCAGCATTAACAGGAGCAGCAGCAGCAGCAGCATTAACAGCAGCAGCAGCAGCAGCAGCAGCAGCAGCAGCAGCAGCAGCAGCAGCAATAGAGTTGTACGTACACCTCAATAATTTGATTAAAAATATTATGTTGTTTATTTTGTATATTTTTTAATTCTTTAGATAAAATTAAATCAATTATTAATTCACTCTGCTGCAGCAATGCTGCTACCTCCTCTGATTTACCCATTCTCCTGCTGCTGCTGCTCCTGCTGCTGCTCCTGCTGCTGCTGCTGCTGCTGATGCTGCTGATGGTGGTGATGGTGATTATGATGATGTGCTTGATGTTGCTGTTGCTGTTGCTGGTTGTGTTGGTTATATTCGTGTTGCTGCTGCTGCTGTTGCTGCTGCTGCTGTTGCTGCTGCTGTTGGTATTACAGACGTGATGTGTATAACTATTACAGCTGCTGATGTTGCTGCTGCTGCTGTTGCTGCTGCTGCTGGTCCGTCATACAGGACCGCCGACAGCAACAAACTGGCGCGAAGGCAGCAGCAGCAGCAGCAGCGGCCGCAGCAGCAGCAGCAGCGCCTTGGCTTACAGGCAGCAGCTTAGTATTTAAAAACGCATTAGGCTGCAGCAACAACAGCTGCTGCTGCTCAACACAAGCTGCTGTGCTCTGCTGCTGCTGCTGGAGTTGCTGCTGCTGCTGGAGTGTCACCGCAGCAGCAGCAGCAGCAGCAGCAGCAGCTAGAGAAGATAAGGAAAGAAAGGAATCCTATAGACTCAACAATTCCTAACTAATAAATTTTTGTTGTTTATTAATGCATGCAGCAGCAGCAGCAACACAGCAGCAGCAGCAGCATTGGCTTGCAGCGTGGGGCCCGCAACAGGAGCAGCAGCAGAAGTAGTAGTATCTGCTGCTGCTGCTGCTGCTGCTGCATGTGGGGCGAGGCTTCTGCTGCTTGCCTACCATCATATTGTATATAAACTGTTTATTATTTTATTTTTCTTTTTATTTATTTTTGCTGCTTAATTATATATTAAGGCATTTGCCTCTGCGGCCTGCTGCTGCAGCTGCTGCTGCTGCTGCTGCCGCTGCCGGGATTGTGCTGCAGCTGCTGGAAGGTTAGATCCGCAGCTGCTGCTGCAGTGGGAAGTATACGACGGGAAAGAAGAGCAGCAGCAGCAACAGCAGCAGCGACCGGAGCAGCAGGAGCAGCAATAACAGCAACTGCAGCAGATACTCTAGCAGATCAGCAGCAGTCGCAGCAGCAACAGCAGCAACAGCAGCAGCAACAGCAGCAGCAGATTCACCAGAGGCGGCGGTAGGCTGCCTGTTGACACAGGGGCTGCTGCCCTTGTGAAGCCTGCAGCAGCGGCAGCAGCAGCAACAGCAGCAGCAGCAGCAGCAGCAGCAGTTTGAACCGCATCAATCCGCTTATAGAGTTGTCTTCCTGTGTATAACAAGATGGGTAAGGCAGCAGCAGCTGCTGCTGCTGCAGCAGCAGCAGCAGCACGTGCTGCAGCAACAGCAGCAGTCTCCCTCCCTCGTGCTGGTTGGTCTGCCTTCTCTCCTTGTGGCACATTTTTTGCTTCTGCTGCTAACCCCACAGTGCAGCAGCAGCAGCAGCAGCAATATGACACCCGTGGTTTGCTGCCTCGCAGCACAATACGTGTATGGCGCTGCAGCAGCACTGCTGATGCTGAACGCAGCAGCAGCAACAGCAGCAGCAGCAGCAGCAGCAGCAGCAGCAGGGAAGCAGCAATTGAATCCTTAGAGTTTCAACGTCAGTTCTTGGGGCAGTCAATAACCCAGGTAACATTTGTTAACGTCAGCAGCAGCAGCAGCAGCAGCAGCAGCAGCAGCAGGTTGCTGCTGGTGTTGGGTACTGAATCAGGGATGGTTGCTGCACTAGACAGCAGCAACGATTGGTGTCTCCTTTTCTCTATACATTTAAATTTATCAGCAGCAGCAGCAGCAGCAGCAGAGGAAGATGAGGCAGCAGCAACAGCAGCAGCAGCTGTTGCAGGCAGTGGTGATAGTGCTGCTGTACGTGCTCTTGTACCTATCCCATGCAGCAACAGCAGCAGCAGCAGCAGCAGCAGCAGCAGCAGCAGCGAGCTGCTCGTGCTGCTGCGCAGGGGCCCCACTGTCTCCTCCCTGCTAGTTATTGATTTGCTGCAGCAGGGGCAGCTGCTGCGCTCCTCTGATGTAGGGCGTGGGTTTACGCATGCGTTGCTGCTGCAGCAGCAGCAGCAGCAGCAGGATGAGGAGGGAGAGGGAGGGCAGCGACAGTTGGTGCTGCTAAGCAGCAGCAGCAGCAGCAGCAGCAACAGCAGCAGCAACTTGGTCCTATTTGATATGGATAGGCAGCAACTTGTTGCTAAGCTGCAGGGAGGCAGCGCAGCATTTGCTGCTGTTGCTGCTGATGCTGCAGCAGGAATTGTTGCTGCTGTATGCAGCAAGACAGTGCATGCAGAGCAGCAGCAGCAAGTTGCTGTATGGAGACTGCCGCAGCACATATTCAGCAGCAGCAGCAGCGACAGCAGCAGCAGCAGCAGCAGCAGCAAGAAGCTAAAAATTCCTATGTGGGGTGTCCTTGCTTATCATCAGCGGCTGCTGCAGCCAACCTTCCTCAGGTGCAGCAGCAGCAGCAGCAGCAGCAGCACTGCTGCAGCAGCGGGAAGCGATGGGAAGCAGCAGCAGCAGCAACAACAGCAGCAGTTGCTGCTAGTCTGCCTAACAGATCAGCAGCAGCTAGTTGCTTGGCGTCTAGACACCGCAGCTGCTGCAGTGCCTTCGCTGCCGCAGCAGCGTATAGACACAAGACTAGCAGCAGCAGCAGCAGCAGCAGCAGGGGATAATGAAGGTGTTTTCTATATACAGCAGCAGCAGCAGCAGCAGCAGCAGCAGCACGAGCAGCAGCAGCAGCAGCAGGAAGGGTTATATGTAGCAAGAGGAGGTCTAGTAGACCCCTTATGCCATATTGCCCAGCTAAAGGATGCAGCAACAGCAGCAGCAGCAGCAGCAGCAGGAGCAGCAGCAGGTTTACAGCTGGTGCTTCCTCTACCAACAACAGGCAGCAGCAGCAGCAGCAGCAGACGTTGCATGCAGGAAGTTGCTGCATTAACATTAGAAGAAGATCAGCAGCAGCAGCAGCAATCCCGACGCAGTGGCAGCAGCAGCAGCAGCAAAGAATCCGCAGCAGCAGCAGCAGCAGCAGCAGAAGCAATATTACCAACAGACATAGCAATAAAATCCTTAAAACGTGCAGCAGCAAGCAGCAGCAGCAGCAGCAGCAGCAGCATGGATAATGAATCAATAAAGAAGCAACGTCAAGAAGCAGCAGCAGCATCAGCAGCAGCAGCATCCCAAGACAGCAACAGCAACAGCAACAGCAGCAGCAGCAGCAGCAGCAGCAGCAACGTTGCATGCGTGCTGCGTCAGGCACTAATTACAGCAGATATAAGCCTATTAGAGACAATATTATCCAGGGGACAATTAAAAAGGAGACAATTAGCAGCAGCAGCAGCAGAACTGTCTCCTTTGCATGCATTAAGTTTGCTGCAGTTATTAGTGCAGCAGCAGCAGCAAAAACCTAGCAGCAGCATAATAAAGGGACAATGGATAGATGAGATAATTAAGCAGCATGCCCCCTCTCTTGCATGCAGCCCCGATGGTAGACAGCAGCTACTGCTGCTGCTGCAGCAACTGCAGCAAAGAAGGAAGGTAGAGGCAGCACTTGTATCTATTAAGGGGAGACTCGAGCTGCTGCTGCTGCACATGCAAAGGAGACAGCAGCAGCAGCAGCAAACTAATAAAACTAAACAAGATGCTATTCATCCTCTTATTGAGCATATAGAGACACCATAAACTATTCCTGCAATTATTGCTGCTGCTGCTGCTGCTGCTGCTGCTGCTGCAGTTGCAGTTGCTGCAGTTGCTGCTGCAATTGCTCCAGTTGCTGCTGCAGCAGTTGCTGCTGCAGCAGTTGCTGCTGCAGCAGTTGGTGCCGTTTCAGCAGCAGCAAACGTAGCACAGGACACACCGAAGTAACAGCAACAGCAGCAGCAGCAATAGCAGCAGCAACTGCTGGGTGCTGCTGCTGCTGCTGCAGCTTTTGCTGCTGCAGCAGCAGCTGCAGCAAATGTTTTATGCTGACACAACCGTGTTTATTGAAGTTATCGATGCTGCAGTGTATAGGCACCTAGTGTATAGGAATCCTGCTGCTGCTGCTGCTGTCGTTGCTGCTGCTGCTGCTGCTGCTGCTGCTGTCGTTGCTGCTGCTGCTGCTGCTGCTGTCGTTGCTGCTGCTGCTGCTGTTAGGGACGAACAGAGGATACAGACACTATGTGGTTTCCTTAGGGGAGATTAGACCCTCTGTGCAGCAGCAAACCCTAAACCCTAAACCCTAATTCGTGCGGATGTTTGTTGCTACCAATGAGTATACCTCTACAAGGGTTTAGGGTTTAGAGTTTGAGGGTTTACTGACTGCGGGTTTAGGGTTTAGGGTTTGTAGGGCGCCTAGCTAGGGTTTAGGGTTTATAGAGTACCTATCTAGGGTTTAGGGTTTATACATCATCTTGTCTAGGAGTTCTATAAACCCTAAACCCTCAATCAGTAAACCCTTAAACTGTCTATCTAGGGTTTACTATTTATAGTAGAGATTTACCATTGACACTATACAGATTAGGGTTTAGGGTTTAGGGTTTAGGGTTCACTAGAGGTATATTATGCTCGGCTAGTGCTAGGAAAGGTTTGTTGTTAGGGTTTAGGGTTTGTTGCTAGGGTTTATTGTTTGCAATTAGGGTTTAGGGTTTAGGGTTTGCAATGAGGGTTTAGAGTTTAGGGTATGGAGTTAGGGTTTAGTGTTTGCAGTTAGGGTTTAGGGTTTGCGTTGAGGGTTTAGGGTTTAGGGTTTAGGGTTTGCAGTCTATTGTCTTTAGTTGCATCTAAAATTAATCAAAAATATTTTCTTTAAGAGGAGAATATTTTAAGGGTTTAGGGTTTAGGGTTTAGGGTTTAGGGTTTACTAACCCGTGAACCCTCTGGGGCCCCCCGCTCTGCTGCTGCACAGGGGCCCCACAGCTTGGGGTGTATGGGCAGTTAATTTGCTGCTGTTGTTTGTTAATAGTTGTATATATTATTTATATTATTTATATTAGGGTTTAGGGTTTAGGGTTTAGGGTTTAGGGTTTATTGTCTCTCTTCTTTCTCTCCGTCGTCCCTGCAGGTGTCTGTACACTGCAGGGGCCTGGCGGTTGTCGCCTTCTTCTTAAGGCCAGGTCTTTGAAGCAGCAGCAGCAGCAGCAGCAGCAGCAGGAGCAGCAGCAGCAACAGCAGCAGGAGCAGCCGCAGCAGCAGCAGCAGCAGCACGACGGGAAGCAGCTATCATAGCGATGGACCTCCTTCATTCTCCCCCCCTTGCGTTGCAGCAGCATGCC